ATTGCATTGTCCACTTCCTCTGTAGTAGGTGGTGATAAAGTTACAAATGTTTCTTTAAACTTCCGCTTCTGTGGTACTGGTCTTCTACGATCTAAAATTAAAACAAAGCTTTTATTTTTAAAAAAAAAAGTGCTGTAACATGTGTAATGACAGTAAAAATATAACTTAATTGTATTCATCAAAAAATAATATGGCGCAAAATACAAATTTTAACCGCAGTGCAACGTGATGCAACTGCATGTAGCAAAGTCTTTTGAGGAAATAACAAATCTAAACTGTTTTTCTTATCTCTGAACCAATCACCTAACCCCTTTGTTGACAAACTTGTAACACGTGCATTGATTTGGTATCAGTTCCTTAGTTTTGTTCATGTTTGATTTTTTAACTATGAAAACCCCGAATCACCTAGGCTTTTCAAAAGGTAATGAATATCGAGATTTTCAGGGATACAACAGAAGTCTGGGTTGAATCATGACCCCAAACAATGTGATGTGATTATTTTTACCTTTAAAAACGTTTACTTACTAAATAAACTACTATACATGTATATATTTTAGACATTTTTTCTTTGCACTTTAACTTACCATAAAGTTCCCGTAATTGAGCGATATCATCAGATGTAAGTTTCATTTTTACAGCTGTAAAATATGGCGACATAACTGCTAGTCGAGGAGAAATATGTTCTAGCCCAAGTGCGTGTCCAATTTCATGAAGTGCCACTGTGGGTAAATGAATCTGGTCAAATGAAAAGTTACCACCTTTTAAGGTCCATCGTTCGTCGTCATCAAAATGGGTTCCCCCATTGGCAGGTAGGAAGGCGTGTCCTAAAAGTTTTCCTTAATTAATAAAGGAAATCAGATAAGATTGTGATTTCAGGGAATTGATACTAGTCATTGTTATTATAAAACTGATCGAAAAACCGCATAAAACCTGAAATATTGTGTGAAATAACAGAACGACATGTCTTTAACGAAACTAAAATGCATGTTTGAAATAGCAATTAAGTTGAAAAAAGTACGCGCTTCAAAAATCTCAAATCGTTAAAGACGCGCATTAAACTTTTTAGCTTGTTTTTCCTAAACAAGGACTTTTGAAATGCAGAAAACTACACATTTTAATAATTATCGAATCCATAAGATAAAACACGTTAACATTAACATGAAAAGAACGTATATAAGCAACCTATCATGCATCAAAAGCAACGACATTTTTATTTTATGTGGTAGATCAAAAATTGACTGATTTACCTCTACCATCAAATGCATTGTAATCACCATCACCATGTTCCAGTCTAGCAAATAAAATCTTTATATCTGGTTTCCTGTGAGAATATTTAAATCGTAGATTGGAATGTCTAGCCCATATTCTGAATGCTTTTTGGAATGTTCTCCTACATGAAAAGATTATAATAATTTATATGCAAAGATTATGTTTCAAAAGAAAAAAATATCTGTTTATTGTACATTTCTATTATACGTATATACTATCATGCAATAGCATTTCGTGTAAATTTTTATTCGATACGCAAAAGCATGCAGGTTGTTTTTTTTTTTTTTTTCTTACCAAGGCAGCTATTGTCAAATTAGTTGAAGTTAAAAGAATTTAAACAACTCCGTTTAAGGTAAATGTTTTGCAAAACAACGGCCCTTTAAATAACCTTGTCTAGAAATACACCCTGTTGTTGAGTGGTACTTTGTTTGACATGTTTAATCTTCTTTTTATCCCTTAGTTTAACTTAACGGAGTAACCTGACTACCTGATCAATACATAGGGCTCACAGTGGATGTGACCATAAATTGAGAACAGACATGTCAAAATTTCGACTTTTTTATATCTCAAGTTTTATTAAACGTATGCGCATAAAAACCTACAGATTTTTATTTCTATACACAAATTCAAACTCATGTTGAAAATTTTGTTTCATTATCAAATTTATTTTTTGAAATCATATTGATTTAAAATTTTGACTTAAGGCTATTCTCATTTTATGGTATTTGGATATGGTCTCCTCTCTGATGTCTCTAGCACAGTTTTTGCGATTTGTGATTTGCCCTGAAAAACTATTCATATTTTTGCCCTGATCACGATTCGTGTTTTGCCCCGATCACGGTTTGTGATTTTGCCCTGATCACGATTTGTTTTTGCCCTGATAACGATTCGTGTTTTTGCCCTGATAATGATTCGTGTTTTTGCCCGGTTCACGATTCGTGTTTTTGCCCTGATCACGGATTCGTTTTGTTCTCTCAGACAGGGTTTATGAGATTGATCAGTGTTTGTCATCTTCAACTTTTTACATTATAATAGAAAATTGTAAAAAAATTCATATACATAAATGCTTATTTTACAATGAGGATATCGATGAAAGAATTATGTTCTTTAAATAAATACAGTTAGAGATTTCAAAAAAAAAAAAAAAAAAAAAAAAACATACCATTGAAAAAGAGGTCTGATTTTTGTCGAGTATCTCACAACACCCCAGGTCAGGTTATCCTTGTCCCATTTTAGAACTTAATTCAAAAGAAAGCATGTAAATGAAATTGTCAATTTAAATTTTAAAAAAAAATTAACAAACAAAATTGATTCAATATCAAATGCAGTGTACCTAGCTTTAAAACATTTAACATACGGTAAGGAAGGTTGGACACTCTGCCTTTAACCATTTATTATATTTTGTTTTTTCATAGTATTCAAAACTGTTTTCCGATTCACAGACTTTAATTTTCAACATTTCTAAATTAGAAATAATTTTTTTTTTGTTTTGTTGTTTGTTACAGATCTTTTGAAATTCATCGTTTTACAACCTTTCGAACTCCGCCGACTTCTCTGATGTTTGTGGTATACTTCCGTATTCCCACATTGTCGAATAGAAATGTTGTTCGTGAAAGAGGCACCATGGCTACCTGAACTAAAATGGATATGGTAAAGTAGGCGTTAGTTTTCTTTAAAAGAAGAGACATCTTAAAGATACATCTGTACACTCAGAACAAGCTTGATTGTCGAAAAAAAGAAACGATATGGGCCTATTTCTAAATTGAATCCAGGCTTCTTGCCTTTCACAGATGTGTTTTCAATTCAAAATGTAACACGTTGATATACATTAGTCATTGGTTATTTGTAAAACTAATTTCATAAAACAGTCTGATTGTAAACAGAAATACTCTGAGGTTAAAATTCTAAAAATAAAAATGCTTGAATTTCTGATTGACAATACATTTATCTATGTAGTTGGGTTTTTTTTTTTGTTTTTTTTTTTTTTTTGAAGACCAGGTCTCCAATTATCTGTTGGAATCCCCTTGACCATCTTTTTATTCATTTAAAAACTACAAGAGAAGAAGACACCTGCTGTTGCCTTCAGCTCGCCATTTATACATGTATATCGACGACGTATTATCAATTATTAATAAGTACTTCCATTCCATTGATATCTTGACTCGATATTACCTAATGAGCTTGACACGTTTCACTTTTGGATATTTACTAGAAAAAGAAGTCGATGGTAAACTGAGAAAAAAAGATCTATGATAAAAGTGATGACTTCAACTTTTCAAATAAAATGTAGCAATATACCCTTACATGATCAGTACGTACTGGTCCCTGCTGACAAAGCAGGTAATAACATTGCTCATTATATAAATTGTATTTTAGAAGAAGTTGGAATTAATTCTACAAGTTGTAATCCAACTTGTACTGATAGTTCCCTTTCTAAGGAAGAAATTCTTCAAAATCAAATGTCAGTTTTGAAGATTTTTATATCCCAAAGAACCAAAATGAATCTGAACTACCGTAAATACATGTATATTGGATTCCTAAACTTCATAAAAATCCAGGTACGAACAATTAAAGATACATAGCGGGTTCCTGTAACCAACCCGTGTTCAACCAAGCTTCTTTCTTTACTCCTCACTAAGATATTAAAGGATATACTGCAAGAGTACTGTGCAACAATATATTCAAGAAGTGGTGTATATCAGATGTTGATACTTTTAAAAAAATTCCAAGGAACTTTTGGAAAATTTAAAATCACACGATTTTACCAAAATCAACAGCTTAACAACTTAAGACTTTTCAACTTTATACACAATCATTCCTCACGATAAACTAAAATCCAGACTTTTTAATAAATTTATATCACTGACAGCTGCGTTTTCAATAATGATGGAACTCATAAATTTACTTACCTTATCATTGGTCATTTGCAAAATTATTTTGTTAAAAAACAGTCTGATTGTACACACAAGTACTTTGAAGTTGACATCAAAAAGATGCTTGAGTTTCTGATTGGCAATATCTATTAGAGTATGTTGTTTTTGGAGACCAGGTCTTCCAACAATCTATTGGAATTCCCATGGGTACAAATTGTGCCCCGTTATTAGCAGACCCATTTTTGTATTCATATGAAGCAGAATTTGTGCAAAATTTTGAAAAGAAGAAAATACTTACTGTTTCCTTCAACTCTACATTTAGATACATCGACGATGTATTGTCAATTAACAATGGTAATTTCCATTCTTATGTCGATACGATATATCCTGGTGAGCTTGAGATAAAAGATACCACAAAGTCTGACACATCTGTCTCATATTTGGTTATTTAACTTGAAAAATAAGGTAATGGTTATCTAACAACTAAGTTCTATGTTAAACGTAATGATGTTAACTTTTCTATCAAGCTACATACCTTCATCACTTGCATATGGAGTTTATATATCTCAGTTGATTCAATACGCAAGAGCATGTTCTACGTATGAACAACTTCTAATTCCAGGTAAATTATTGACAAAAAAGTTGTTGAATATCAGCAGTCTCGTTTAAAGTCATCATTTCTTAAGTTCTAGAGTTGACACAATGCCCATGTCAGCAAATACAATTTATCATTGAGTCAAATGCTGACTGACGTTTTTTTCATACAAAATGTTAGTACATTATTTATGCGCTGAATTGACGGCGAATGTTCTCGTTATTTCCCGGTCATGACAAGGAGCACACGGCGGGTGTGACCGGTCGGGAGGGGATTCTCACTCCTTCAAGGCACCTGATCTCACCTGTGATGTTTTGGAGGTTCGTGTTTGCGCTGCTCCTATTTTGTATTGTTTATAGACTTTTGATCTTCAATACTGTTCGTTATCTCCATTTGTATCGTGCTTATGAGGTTTTCGTTTCTTGTTGATTTAACCAAGGTGATGAAACAAGGATAGCAACAGTCTCGTTCGAAGTCATTATTTGACAAGTTTTTTGGTCGACACAATGCCCAAGTCAGCAATTACAACTTATCATTGAGTCAAATACAGATTGAAATTTTTCATACTCAATGTCAGGCCATTATCTACACAAATTGTTTATGTTTTCCTTTTTAGTTGTTTTCCGGATTATGACAAAGAGCACACACTGGGTGTGACCTGTTAGCAGAGGATGGCCACTCTCTTATGACCCCTGATCCCCCGCTGACGTTTTTGGAGGTCTGTGTTTTCTCTGATTCCGATCTGCATTTTTAGATGAGCTTGAATACAGTTTGTTATATCAATGTTTCATGGATGAAGAATAAACTAATAAGGTAAGAAGCCATTTCCCTCCAGCACGACCAGTTTGTAATTTTCAATTAAAATTTCCCGCATCATTTTAGATAACCTTTGAAGTGTTAATGGTTAAAAAACTTTCTGCGGTAGACAAGAGTCATATCTTGGACATTACTCATGTAACGTCATATTATCTTGGATTGGATGAAGACATTACTCATGTTACGTCATATTCCTAATCTGATCTCGGTGATTCTTATGTTTTCACGGTATATTATTAGTTATCCAGGTTCAATCAAGGGTGTACGGGGATTTACCCCGGGTTTTATTCCATACACCCTGAGGCCGAAGGCTCAAGTCGGGTGCACGGATATTTACACCCGACTTTGTATCCAATCAAAGCTCGTGTTACAAGCTAGATAGGAAATAATAAATCGTAATACCATAATATACATATTTTACAAACATACGAAAAAACTTTTTTTTTAAGTTATGCTACCTGTATGTATGTTTTCTATTTCTCTGCAGTTTTGAAATTCCTTGTTGTTTGAATCTAAGTTGTATTTTAAATACAAATGGTTATTAATTGGTATGATTCATATATATTTGAGTGCTTACAGGTTGCTTGGATTTTGCTGAAATTGTGAAAATTTCTTTACTTTATCTAGGTCACTAGAACAGTGTACGATAAACACGATGTCACACCAGCCAAATTACTTTATTGCATATTTTCATAATTCTTTCAAGTTTAATACCGTATAACCTTGTTTTACAAATTTTTTATAGCTTATGACGCTGAGATGCCTTTTTTAATCAGGAGATACCCGCAGAGGGAGCAATTATAGCTGACTAAATAAAAAAGATTGGATCTCTTTAGCCATCTTAATCTGCCTGCTTGGATCTCGATACTTAAGCAAATCAGTAGCAGTCAAAGAATTGAGACAAATGTACAGGAAATAACTAAGACTAAGAATTCCTTTGATCTCAAGGTGTCCCGATTTCCGTTAATTTTTCGACCCCTTCCTTTAGTTCAAAACAGTTACTACTATCTATAGCATGAGAATGTGAATAATGTTAATAAAATAATATAGAGGTTTATCAAGAATTATCTTTAGTATTTTACAGTACGCAAAATTCCATCAAAATTTATAAAAGTGCTCCACGTAGTAATGTCGATCCTAACAGCTTGTATTTTTCATATACAGTTTACAGCCAGACTTCAAGAGTAGTTCTGTTGGATTTATTTGATAAACTGTCAGGAGAATGGGAATACACAATACAACTTCATCTATT